TTTGTTTGTTTTTGTTTTTTAGATTCCACATATGAGCGATCTCATATGGTATTTTTCTTTCTCTTTCTGGCTTACTTCACTTAGAATGACATTCTCTAGGAGCATCCATGTTGCTGCAAATGGCGTTATGTTGTCGGTTTTTATCTGCAGCCATTTTTTAATCTTTCTTTTGCTCAATGGTTATGAAAATGGGAACTGTTCAAGTGAAATGAAAGAACTTCAATATTTGGGGTGATGTTTTTCACCTTTATACTTTGATGCATTTTCTGGATTTTTCTATAGTGATTTCACTTTTATGATAAGAAACAAAATATTCATCTCCATTTTCTAGTAATGCCCATATCAATTCCACTTGGTGACCCCGGGTAAGCATCTTGCTTCTGAGGTACCATCCATAAAAGCAGCTCGAGAACCTAGTCAACATTTCACCTCCACCACTCTATCCACCACATCATAAGATCTCAGTACCCTTGCTGCTTCTCTGTATCCCTTGGTCTCCAAAACATGAATGAGTAACCTGCATCCGCGTTTGTCTGCTCTGGGCCAGTTCCCACTGCCCTTCCCAGAGAACGGGAGAGAAGAAGAGTGTGATCTTTCATTTTACGTGCACCCGCAGTCACGCCATCTATGCTTACCTGGTTATTTGCTTTGGGTGCCGGTTGGGAATGGGTCATGGGAGCAACTCAGAAAGAAATGCGAGTTTCTTTGGCCTCATGGGGAAACACTGACATTCTCTTTGTTCTTGTCCCACAGATATGACGCTGCCTCTTGTGTTTAGCTATTGGGAACAGTTACAATTTTCTGTGCTGAAATCATTCTGGAAACTCCAACAGTAGACTTCAGCATTCAAGGGAAGCCAAAGCCATTGGAGGGGGCACAAAGCCAAAAGCCTTTTATCTTAGGAGTTCCAAAAATTTCACTGCCCCTTCCCTGCCCATCCCCCACCCCCAAAATAAGCCATTGCACACAGACAGGCAGCATGGCGAGCAAACGGAAATCTACAACCCCATGCATGGTCCGGACATCACAAGTACTAGAGCAGGATGTGCCCGAGGAAGGAGACAGGGCCAAAGAGAAGAGGGTCGGCACGCCCCAGCCTGAAATGGCCAAGGACACTTGGGCAGGGGAGCCGGAAAACTCTTCCAAAGAAAGTGAAGTGATAGAGGTGAAGTCCACGGGGGAAGCACAGTCCAAAAAGCTCCAAGGTGGTTACGAATGCAAATACTGCCCCTACTCCACGCAGAACCTGAACGAGTTCACGGAGCACGTCGACACGCAGCACCCCAACGTGATTCTCAACCCCCTCTACGTGTGTGCCGAATGTAACTTCACAACCAAAAAGTACGACTCCTTGTCGGACCACAACTCCAAGTTCCATCCCGGGGAGACCAACTTCAAGCTGAAGCTGATCAAGCGCAACAATCAGACCGTCTTAGAGCAGTCCATCGACGCCACCAACCACATCGTGCCCATCACCACCAGCGGCCCCGGAGGCGGGGACAGCGATCCTGGGATCTCGGTGAGTAAAACTCCCATCATGAAGCCAGGGAAACCGAAAGCTGATGCCAAGAAGGTGCCCAAGAAGCCGGAGGAGGCCGCCCCCGAGAACCACGTGGAAGGGACCGCCCGCCTGGTGACAGACGCGGCTGAGATCCTCTCAAGACTCGGGAGCGTGGAGCTCCTCCAGGACACGTTGGGACATGTCATGCCCTCTGTCCAGCTCCCACCAAATATCAACCTTGTCCCCAAGGTCCCCGTCCCGCTGAACACTACCAAATACAACTCTGCCCTGGACACCAACGCTACCATGATCAACTCTTTCAACAAATTCCCTTACCCCACCCAGGCTGAGCTGTCCTGGCTGACCGCTGCTTCCAAACACCCAGAAGAGCACATCAGAATCTGGTTTGCCACCCAGCGCCTGAAGCACGGCATCAGCTGGTCCCCAGAGGAGGTGGAGGAGGCCCGGAAGAAGATGTTTAACGGCACCATCCAGTCAGTGCCCCCGACGATCACCGTGCTGCCCGCCCAGCTGGCCCCCACAAAGATGTCACAGCCCATCCTCCAGACAGCTCTTCCGTGCCAGATCCTTGGCCAGACCAGCCTCGTGCTGACTCAGGTGACCAGCGGGCCAACAACCGTCTCTTGCTCCCCCATCACGCTCGCCGTGGCCGGAGTGACCAACCATGGCCAGAAAAGACCGTTAGTGACTCCCCAAGCTGCCCCCGAGCCCAAGCGTCAACACGTTGCTCAAGTGCCAGAGCCCCCACCCAAGGTGGCCAACCCTTCGCTGACCCCCGCCAGCGACCGCAAGAAGACGAAGGAGCAGATTGCACATCTCAAGGCGAGCTTCCTCCAGAGCCAGTTCCCTGACGACGCCGAGGTCTACCGACTCATCGAAGTGACCGGCCTCGCCAGGAGCGAGATCAAGAAGTGGTTCAGCGACCACCGGTATCGGTGTCAAAGGGGCATCGTCCACATCACCAGCGAATCCCTTGCCAAAGACCAGATGGCCATCGCGGCCTCCCGACATGGTCGCACGTACCACGCATACCCAGACTTTGCCCCCCAGAAGTTCAAAGAGAAAACACAGGGTCAGGTGAAAATCCTGGAAGACAGCTTTCTGAAAAGCTCTTTCCCGACCCAAGCAGAACTGGACAGGTTAAGGGTGGAGACCAAGCTGAGCAGGAGAGAGATTGACTCCTGGTTCTCGGAGAGGCGGAAGCTTCGGGACAGCATGGAACAGGCTGTCCTGGATTCCATGGGGTCCGGCAAGAAAGGCCAAGACGCGGCAGCCCCCAACGGTGCTCTGTCTCGGCTTGACCAGCTCTCCGGGGCCCAGTTAGCCAGTTCTCTGCCCAGCCCGTCACCAGCAATTACACAGAGTCAAGAACAGGTTCATCTCCTGAGAAGCACGTTTGCCAGAACCCAGTGGCCGACCCCCCAGGAGTATGACCAGCTCGCTGCCAAGACCGGCCTGGTCCGAACTGAAATTGTGCGTTGGTTCAAGGAGAACAGATGTTTGCTAAAAACTGGAACCTTAAAGTGGATGGAGCAGTACCAGCAGCCTCACATGGCGGATGATCACGGCTACGACGCCCTGTCGAGGAAGGCGGCCAAAACCGTCATCGTCGAGAGCCCAAAGAACGGGAGTGAGGTGGGTCAGCAGTATTACAAGGACCCCAAAAAGTTCTGCGAGGAGGGCTTGGAGAAGCTGGTACCCAGGGTAAAAGCGGGCGGTGAGCCAGCAAAAGACAGTTTGCTGGCAAAGCCCTTGGAGGCTGCCTCGGACAGGTTGGAGGGCAACAGCCGGGATGGCCGGGGCTGCGACAAGCAGGAGGAGTCAGGCGTCGTGGACTGGGTGGAGGTGACGGTCGGAGAGGAGGACGCCAGCTCAGACAGGTCGGACAGCTGGAGTCAGACCGCGGCAGACGGCGCGGCGGAAATGGCCGACTCGGACTCCGACAGCGTCCCTGCTGAGGCGGGTCAGGCCTAGACAGGTAATCCCACCTGTTCCCCAGGGAACCAGCGGAGGGTGCTGGGTTTCTTCCTTTTTGTTGCCAGAGTCGATTGTAGGGTAGAGATACTGACACAGATGATGGGTTCTTCTTAAAAGTTCTTTTAAAGTAAAGGAAGAAAAATAGGGGCTGGTAGATTTTATGTCCTTATTTTCAAGGTGGTACCCACAGCATCACTGCCTGTGGCCTTTCGAGGTCTGTCCATCCTAAAATCTAGTAGTGCTATAACACAACACCTGTTTTGTGTTCACTGCTGTTAGAAACAAACGTGAAAGGATATGTCTTCCTTTTTCTGTTTTTTTTCTTTTCAGTTTTTTTGTTTGTTTGTTTTGTTTTTAAGACTGAGTATCCAAGTTTACTGAATAGAAATCTGGGATTCTTTCCTTTAACCGCAAAGGTTTGAAAGTACCTGGCATTAGCCTTGTTGTGGCTAAAGGAATGCATGCCCTTGTGTCTCGTTAAGTAACCCCGCTGGTGGCTTTGCCGATGGGCTCCCCAGAACCCCCTTGAAATCTGGAAGAGACTGGTGTAAATTAGGTCTGTGGAGCCACAAAAGCCTGGGAAGGGAGGTTACCGTGGTTACTAATGGCCATGTCATCCACATAATGGGACATGCCACCCAAGCCCTTGGTGTTTGTGCTTCACAAGAGGCCTGTGCAAATCCAGGCCTGAAGCACAGCAGCTTTCTTGACAGTCAGTTTAGAAAAGCTCAGGGGGGATAGTAGAGAGAGGGATACAGGAGCGAAGGGTCCACCTTGGCCGAAGCCAAAGTATTCCAAGGGCAGCTTAGAACCAGGAGGGAGGTGCGTAATTTACAGTCTGCCTGGGTTGGCTTCTCCAGAGGTCACTTAAAAGACAATGAAACACCACCCCCGCCCCCCCGCATGTCATCTTTAAAAATAATGAAAGGTAAGAGCCTCCAGGATGATTGATAAGGTCCCCAAGGGAGCCCTGGAAATTACCATACCTCTTTATTTATGAACTCCAGCAACTTTGGCTGGCCACGTGCTCATTACTTATTCAGTAATAAAATGAGGCACCTGGCAAATAAAGAAAGTCCTCTAGAAACTGTTTTAGCCCGTTTATGTCGGCTGTTAACAGAGCAATTTAATGAGCAGCCAATCACAGAACGCCAGCAGCTCTTTCTCCTCAGACCACGTTTCAGGAGGAAGTAGTAATGGGTTGGGGGTGAGGATGTAGCCCCGAGGGGAGGGGCAGAGACTGTCCGGATCACCAAGAGCACCAACTGCCTGCCTCCGTCCAGCTGCCTGTTTCATCCTCCCTCTGGCCATTTTCCTGCTTCCTACAAGACCCTACCTGCCAGTCCAGCCCAGCCCATATCTCCCTTGTTGAAACGATGGAGCAAATTTTTTTGGTCCAGATTGTACCTGAAAGCTCCTTGTTTGCCCTGTCTTCTGTCCTAGACATTTTCTAATGCATAAACATAAGTCTACGTGATTGCTTTCTCCTCCTACCACACTGCAGACAATTGAGTTCAATTCAGCACATACGTTCTGAGCACCTACTGTGTGCTGGTAAGTGTGCCCGGCCCCAGAGATAACAGGATGAAGATGACGACAGAGTCTTCATTCACATGCAGCTCAGTGGGACCAACGGGATTAGACACTGCTCTTCCCTCTATTGGCCAGGGTGATCCGTGGTGTGATGGAGAGGAGCCCAAGGTGGGGCACCCAGGTTGGGGGCTCAGGGAAGTCTTCCTGGAGGAAGGGACAGCTGACTAAGGGGCTAGCTAATCGGCAGGAGTCAGCCCAGTGCACAGACAAGGAAGAGAGTGTTTCAGGTGGAAGGAACACAAGCAAAAGTCAAGAGACAAGAAAAGGAATGGTGCAGCTAAGGAACCAAAAGAGGTTTGGTGTAGCCAGAAAGTTGAGTTTGGGGCTCAGCAAACACGAGAAGAAGCAAACTCCAAAAAGAAAACCTGATGGTTTCCACAGCAGGCAAAGCTGTTCTGAACCGGTTGTTTCTGAAGAGTTTGGCTGTAAGGATGCTCAGTGTTCCTGTCCCCAGAGTGAGCTCTGGATGCACCTCACTGAGTGGGAGCTTTCTAGGGGTGGCCGCTCCCCAGAGGTCCCTGAGGCCACCTGTCCCCATCTCTTCCCTCCCAAACCATCCCAACACCAGTAGTTGACAGCACCCTTCTGGGTCAGCTGCCACTGTGCTTGACCCCTAGGTGAGACCCAAGAGAAAGAGAAGTAGGGAACAATGCTAACACCATAGAGAGAAGCTTTGGGGAGGAAGGGAGGAAGGATGAAGGATCAGTGCCTCTGAGCAGCAGAGGTGAGCTAGCTGCTCTGGCCACAGGGGGTCCAGCCCAGCTCTCCTAGCGACCCTGAGAGGTAAGCGTCTCTACATTTCTATAAACCCAGACGCCGAGACTCAGAAACCAAGGAACTCATTCACATTCTCCCAGCCAGCACCTCGGTTTCACTCCAGAGCCCTTATTCTTTCTCTGCCTCTTTATTTCTGAAATTCCCCATTTCTGGTTGACACACACCACCCACCCTGCCCGCCTCCATGGCAGGAGATATGTAGAGTTTTTAGAGTTGACTTTTGAATTAACATCAGATAATTCAGAGATGTAGAAACTAGCCATCTCCCCCCCAAAACCAGGAAGACCCAGGAACTCCTTTTATGTTTAGGATAAATGCCACAAATGTGTGCTAGAAAATATTCCTAAACAAGATGCTGAGATCTGCTGAACACCTGGCAACATCCAATATCCCTAACTGGCCTCCTGATATGTTCCAGGCACCGTTGCATTGAGGAAGGGACTGCAGTCTGCAATCTGGCCACATCCGAAAGTGCCCCCAAGTCCTGGCAGAGGCACCCCTTTAAGGAGGCTTTCGACCTAGAGGGGGAAAAAACCTCTCCAAATTACTTCACAGCTTTTATGAACCAACACATGGGTCTCTTGAAATTCATAAATATTCTATTTCTTTATTTCAACACATTTATTTAGGAACCTACAGTTGAGCTCAGTTGCCAAACATATAATAATCCTGGAAATAATGCATGGTTTTGATTTCATAAAAGGCGTTATGCGATGCACGAGAGGCGGGGAGGGGAGGGAGAGAACTGGGGTGAGCAGCTGAGAGCCGCCTGGAGGATGGGGTTTCCTCTGTGGGACTGAAGCAGTGCCCCTCCCCCAGCTCTGCTCCCACCAGTTCCTCTGGCTGAAGCTTCGCAAGGCTCAGGACAGTGGATGACTCTGTTCCAGACTCACCCTGTCCCTGAAGTTAGACACAAAGATAAGGAATCCCTTCCAAGCCTTGAATTGGGTCATCTTGATTCTCTCTGCATCCAAATAATTATCGAGCCATCCAGGGAGAAACCTATCCGGGTAATAGGCTGAAAAATAAACTCCTTCTTTCCTAAAAATGAATCAAAATACTTTAGCCAGAGACTGTCAGATATATGCCTAGATATTTGGCCAGACAGAATACCCCAGCTCTACTACCACGAGGAATTTCTACTTACTTCGATATGCCATGTGCTCAGCATTCTTCCAAGCACATTTATCATTTAAACTTCACAGCAACTCTAAGAGAGAGGTTTGGCTCTTTCCCCATCTTACAGAGGGCAAAACGGAGGCTCAGAGATGCTTGCCCTGGGTTCCTCAGCTAGCAGCTGGTGGAGCCTGGAGACGCCCTCTCACCTGTTAGGTCAGTGCCTGACCCAGCCACCATGGCCACCACCTCGCCAACAGAGGCTCCACCATCACCGCCCAGGCCAAACCAGAAGGCTGTGGTCATTTCTTAATTCTACATGGAATAGAAACTAATACACAACTGTCCATGCACCACTTTGCTGCCTCCTGATTTCTGACAATTTCCAACTCCTGATAATTAGGGGCGGCTTTGGGGAAGAGGCAAATTCTGTGAAATGTCAGAAAAAATATTTTCCATAGTTCAGGTTGCTTAAAATATTCAAAGCTGCCAAGTGTTGGATCCTGGCTACAATTTAGGATCCAGGATAGGTGTACCCCCATAATCTGTTCATATTAGCTGTCCAAATACAGGTGTGTGAATGGATGGATAGGTGAACATGTAATTAACTATTTCCCCATCTCTCCTCTACCAGACCCTTGAAGGCAGGCACTGTATCCCACTCATCTCTGAAAGCCCTATAGCTTCATCCAGAGCAGATGCTCAGTAACAGTTTCTGGAACCAACCTGAGATAACAAATTAACAAATATAGCTGGCGCCAAGTTATCCAGGATCTAGTATTTCAGTCCTTTGCTTCTCCTCACTTTTTTTCCATCACTCATTAGTCCCATTAGATGACAACCATTGGCGGGGAGGATCTGGGGACAGTTTGCTTTCCATGTGTGAACAGCTCGAGGGAAAGGTCTGTTGGAGAATCGACCACCAGCTATTTCCTGGGTGATGCTCCTCAGAGACTGTCCACTAGCCTCACTGCCCTGGTACCTCGTGGGGAGTTAACTGCTATCACTTCCTGTTGCCTAATTCTGGAGCTTCTCAAGTAGGAATTCTCATTTTGCTCTGGGCAGCTTGTAGCAACTTAGGAACTTAATGAAATCAAAGCCCCTCACTTTTCAGAGGAAGGATGCCGGCCCCAAGGAGAGGAAATAAGTAGTCCAGAGACATTCACAGTAGGTGCCTTGGCTCACGCACCCATCAGTATTTGTGGAATGACAGCAGTGTGCCAGGCTCTGGGAGGCAACAGTGCCCAGCATGTCCCTGTCCTCATGAAGCCCATAGTCTAGTGGGGAATGAAGTATTGATCAAATAGTCTTTCATCAAACAAAAAGGAAAAGTTGCCAGGTGACAAGATTTTTTGAAGAACCAGTGCCTAGAACTGTGAGAATATAGAGTAGGGGAATTTGACCTGATTTAAGGGATTGGGTAAGGCTTCTCTGAACAGGTGGTAGATGAATTGAAATCCAGAAGGTAAGAAGGAGTTGGCTAGATGGACAGGAGAGAAGAGGCACTCCAGGCAG